TGGCGACGGCAGAGACCCAGAAATGCACGCATGTACCAAGCTACTTGCAAGTAGTCAAACTGAACAGGGTTTTCCACAGCGACAACTCCACTATCATGACAGCATGTAACGAGCCTGTTAAACCTATTACACAATTTATACCGTTAATTACAGCCACTAGAAGTGGACAAGGCATTGGAGGGTCAAGTTTTGGATTACACGTTGTGTGATTGGATTGCGACACGCAACCTCAATTTAATAGACTGCGATTCACATTGAAATGAACCGTAGTCACTGCGATCGCTGGGACCGTATTCAAAGTATTCAAAGATGGTTGCGTGTCGCAATCCAATCACACAACGTGTAATCCAAAACTTGACCCTCCAATTAGTCATCTACCGTTGTGACAAAAAGCATTGCCCATCGTGACCCGGTAGCCAAAGGGGTAGTAGTGTTGGCTGCTATTCCAATGGTCCTGGGTTCAAATCCTGCTGTCTCCACCTGATGAGATGAAAATTACATCGAAACGCGTCGTGGTTGTGCAGTGTTTTCGGGTGGGCAATACCCAATTTCCATGGACAAGGCATTATTGTTGGATCTGAAAAGATCGTTCAAAACCAGTTAGTGGTGCATCTGTCCTGATTTCGTTAGATGTACTAAAAGCGAAACCAGTACGAGAATATTGTTACTTCATTAAAGGAATCGGTGCGTTATCTGCCACAAGCGAATCAATATGTTCCTTGGGGCATAAAACCATTACCTAGATACAAGAGCATTGTCAACAGATGATAGGAAAAGGGGGCTGATATGAACGCAGTGATATTATTGACAAGTTGGTGTTGCGCGACTTACCAGCTGTTTTATTTTCGGCTTCTCGTTGTTTTTGGAGCTTGAACAAGAACCGACGTAACACATTTGCTCTCATCGTATCGGTGAAGTGCTATATGATGAAGAAATAAAGTGATGGAAACTGAGGAGTGATATGGAAATAAGATCAGTTACTTAACCGGAGTGTGTTCTTGGGTGGAGTCACAGTTTAGCTTAATTTATAAAAGCACGGTTGCACAGATATTGGAGTTGATAAAAAGCGATGTTCCTCGCTGTTTCTCCAAGCTATGCGCGAGGCACTAAAGTGCGTCTGAATTTTTCGATTCACCAATGCACCTGACGCCTCCACTTCGGCTACAGATTCCAAAAAATGCTGTTAACTGCTTCGGGAACAGAACGAACACTTGTTGTGAGAATAGTCGAATTAAACTTTGGTTCCAGAATGAAAGAATTTACGATTGTTTGGGGTTCGCTGGAAATTTTACGTCAGTGCTATATAGGTTGGACTAGTGTGAGTCGTCTCCAGTATATCGGTATGGGCAACCGAAGGAATCGCTACGGACCTATGTGTGTAGGATGAGTAGGCCACTACATATAGTCAAGCGAACCAAACAGAATAGAACACATGCCAACAGCGGTGATGCACACTAAGCAGGTGCATGCTGGAACATCTTGACTCTCATAAAGAATCCGACAGATGTCCACAATTTTGACATAAGCTGCCGATGTTTCAACCGATTTGACATCGTTTCCAAATTGTGAAGTACTGAAAATAATGTGGGTTTCCTGCCACTAACTCGAACGGATTAAATGCTATTGCTGAATATGGTATTACGAAGCCCCATTACCGACACTGATGTCACTGAGTGTAACTCAATCATTCCGAGCCGGTTGATCATTTTTGAGAAGCTATAGATTGTGAATAACACTTAGTTAAACAAATGCCCACGAGCTGTAGTCGGATCATACCAAGATACACTACACTGAGAACTCTACGGTTGTCAGTTTTTCTAACCATCTGGTGCGTAGATTTTCATTATAAGGATAAGGCCGTTCCTACGCACTCCTTCATCATCCATTTTCACATGCATTTTGTGTGCGGACATCATTTACCTATTTCAAACTATCGTTATGCAGCTGTGCAGTTAAATGGATAGACGCTTAAAATGACGATTCACTTATTCCTTGATCGCTTCAATTTTAATTTGTGCTCCAACCACCCTACGGGACTTGTCAAGCACATGCTAATTTTACCCGTGATAAATCATTGTTCATTGCTCATCTCAGTGTTGTTCAACAAAAGTTTTTTTTGGGAGGGGGAGCGTTTGCAACACTGGCCAACTAGCAGACTTTCAGTGCACAAACTCGGATTTACAGTTTGCTTCATCTATTGGTCTGCTATCTCTCCCCTCTGCTCCTTTGGTATGACTCCAGCTTAATTCTTTGGTTAATCACTTAGCCTATCATCGTATCGATCTAGCTAAAATTTCCCTTTATTTTACCTGCAGTGTAGCTACAATTCTCTCGATACAGTGGTGATCTTCCTTGCTCACTGCGACTGGATGTGTTAACCACCACAACTATAAAAGTTCAATTTCTAACTGCTGACAATGCTTGTTCTCCTAAAGTTCGTCAAATTTATCGCGCTCCTATGCACACTCTGTAAAAAGTACCATTATTCCTAGCGGAATTCAACTCGAATGAAACACTGAGATGTCCTATGGTTGAGGTTTAAAAACGGCTACATTGCACTGATTTACTTTTGAATAAGATCAACCAGTACTTACAAGGTAATAAACATAAACTAAAAATGCATCCAAATGCGTGAATGAAGAGTAGACTGACTGAGTTCAGCTTTATTTATGCTTGAAAACACGTGGTGTAACCGAATCAAACCCAAACACGTTGTTCATTTTGAGTAAATAATCAAAGCATTGTGTATATGAAACCTGGAAGCTCAAACTGATTGAACATGTGGCAATCAGTCCACCAGTGATCCCAAGTTACCTTGAAGTCATTCATAGCCTTTTCCGGATCTTCCTGCAATGTCTCCTCATCGTCTGATACCCAGCTGTTGGAATGCACGGGGGACGAACAATCCACTGCTGTGCTGACAGTCGTCGTGGTTACGTTCTTCTTCAAATCTAACTTCGGTGACGGACAATTGGAATCCGTGGTTCTGTTCTGGAACTGATTGGCCCACACGACATTACGCCATGGTGCTTTGTCGTTGAGTGCGTTGGCTTTGATCATGAAGGTGTCTTCACGAGTACTGAAGGCAAGGGTGCCACGGATGCGGTTGAAGAAAGCAGACAAGACCTCACGCGATGGTAGCAGGTTCAACGGGGGAGGCAAGACACCTTCCTGGTCGATGTAAACCATCCACAGACTAGCGCGAGCAAATTTCCATTCTTCTAAGCGGTCACCCTGAGACAAATAAGGGAAACGAAGGTCACTGTTTGTCCGTCATGGAAGGGGTGACACTGCAAAAACAGACTGATAATCTGTTAATCCGGCACATCTTTCCACATCAATTTCTAGCTGAAGTAACTCCAGCGTGGTCCCGTAGTTGAGAGCTGACTGTTCACTAGCATATGTAATCGTTTGGCTAGAAGTGACGAGGATATCTTGAAGAAACTACCACTATTATTACCCCACCCTTCCAGGATTTTCTATTTGGAGAAGCAGGTTGAAATTGACTGTTCAAGTTAATCCTGTCTGACACGTTATGTCCTGTCGAGACACAAAACGAAACCATTAAAAATTGGCGAAGAAATAAATATTTCTGTGACCCATGTATTCACCATGATTTTATGGAAGATGTTGTCCTTGTGAAGGCGCACGCGGAAGTAGCAGCTTAAAGTTAAGTAAATGTATATTTCTTTTGTTAGAAATTCATATAAATTCCTGTGGAATCTGCTCCTGTAACTGAAAACAAAAGCAAAGAATGAGTTGGATACGGCAGGCTGCATTTTGACACAGAAATACGAAGCAGTAAACGTATTGTACATTTACTCCAGAACAAGGGTTAATACAGATGAATAATTCCAAAACTAACCATATTCTGACCACAAGCTGAATATGACTTTTATGAAAGTAGTCCCACTAATGATGCTGTTTAAGTTACTACTGCTTTCTGAAGTAGTGGCCTTCAGGATATCAACAAAGTGTGCGTCTACGGAGCTGTCGCAAAATAGTGTCCTCCTGCATTATTCGCCTTTAAACATTCGGATTTATTCTCACAGATACCTACGTGCCATCATTCGATTTGGCTGCACGAGCTCCTCCTACCACTGTTCATCTTTTAAATCTGTCATTCGCGGATCACCATCAAACTGTGCTTTTGAAATTTCTAAGTCAACCGTGCTTGAATTTTATCGTCGCACAAGAACTTGTGGTCTTATTTTAAAGATCATTTTGAGAGTTATCCGAAAATCTTACTACTATTCCTTTTAGTCGCTGTACAAAGCGATAGTTGTTAATTTGGTCCGCTCTTGGAACAGCCACTGTCGTCATTAGACAGTATTTTCCAAGTCATCTTGCTTGACCTCAATCCTATGTTGCATCGCTGCCTATCCACTTACCGGAGGGAACGATAGCACGCACGTCGCCTATGTACATTAAGGAATCTGTGACTCATCTGGGTGCGACACGTCTGACCCCTCTGAACTCAAACCAGCGCCGATTGCCACGCAACGAAAAGTGAAGCGAAGTCACACACTGTGCCTCAGTATCTCTATCCTCTTGCTAGCTCTGTTGTAGTGTACATCCAGTTGCTCCAATCCATCTTGTTATTGTGGAATCTTTACACAATATCACCACCATCTGCCGTCATTCCAAGTTCGCTGCCCCGTTACTGACCATGACCACATGTATCAGTAGAATTATTCCAACGGTTCAACGCCGCCTATGTTGCGCAGACAATTGCAATAAAGCCCTTAAGATCGGAATAAACTGTTCTAGCCGCATTAGACCATACTGTACGCAGTGTGCAAGTAAATCCGTCCAAGAACTGAGACAAACAAACTATGTTGCTGACACCATTTGGTTTTGTCCAACCTTCCAGTTGTCAACTGTTTATCTTTGAGCATGAAAAAGTGTGATAGGATGACTGAGATAAACGCGTATTTTGTAAATACTAAGATCGATCCCACGGAGGTACATATGGCCACGCTAATGTCTCAACCAGCCAATATAAGATCTGAGTCTAAGCCGAAGAAAAGTGCTAGACGTTCCAACCGCACTGCAGCATCTGGGTCTCTAAATTCACTGGTTCACCTCACTCCCATAAGTGGACGAGCCTCATTCAGGCCTGCTTCCACTTCTCCAACCATAGACGCTTCACTCGGAGATTCAGCCATGACACCGACAACTCAGAGCCGAAGGCAATCCGGTATAGACAACAAGCAGGTAACGTACGCATCGATTGCCTCGAAAACGCACCGGGATCGACACACGTAGGTCAACCTTCTATACCGAGCACAAGTGGCGCAACGCAGCTTTCACAGTGAACTCCAGTGGTGCCTTCTAGATAGCCCAAATGGCCGGCAAAAACTATAAAACCGACACACGCTAGACGAAACCACGCTGCGTTAACTCTTGCGTACACCAATGTTCTCGAGTCCAAGTCTAGCACAACAAAAGGCAAGTTGCAAGCCGATCGCAACCAGTGGAGTTCCATCTACGGTGCGATTGGTATTCGGGTTGGGTCTGCTGTGCTGCAACGCGTAGCGCGTCACCCGACCTCAGTGCACTCTGGTGAACCTCGAATTATTCGAGTAACACTAGACTCAGCAGATGAGACAGAGGCAGTCCTGCTCTCAGCAGTTCGTCTTCGTAACTCACCGAGCGGAGTGCGCATATTACCAGATATACCTTGGAAAGGTCGCCCAAAAGAAGCAATTGACCAACGCGGCATTCCTAATAAGGATAGCAAGAAAACACTATTTGTTCATGATGTTCCCGAGCTTCTGCATTCTTCTGATCACGCTGCGCAAACACATGACCGAGAGCAGTCGTGCTGCCTACGTGAAGCACTCACTGTTCACAATGTTATTGTCAAATCCCTGACAAGAGTGCCGTCATCACCTAACTACAAGGGCTGCGGTCCAAGAATAATGAAAGTAATATTACACCCCGAGGGAATAAAGCAAGTTCTGTTGGATAACTGGTTAAAATTTCGAGCCAGGTTGCCAACAGAGATCCGGCTAAAGGCGGCAGGTGAACTTCCCAGAGTCCTAAGAAATTCGATGGAATTTGCGAACGTAGTGAATTTTTTATCTGCACAGTCCTGCGGAGAGACCGACACAACAGCACTCATGGCACACAACAGGACAGAACACAGCCCGAGTGAAACTTCTGTACAGGAAAGCTTGACTGAAATTCATAAAACAAAAGACGATTAATTGCTGATCACCTAATGACCGGATTAAAAATTAACACAAAATATATATCCATCAATGCACTCTTAACAACAAAAACCCTACCTTGTATGTACATAAACGCCCAAGGCCTTCTAAGTAAGTTGGCCGAACTTAGAGAAATCTATGCCTCACAAAGGTGGGACCTTGTCATGATTACAGAGACCTGGTTAAACCTTGAGATAACCGATTCTGGGATCAATTTACCCGGTATGTCGCTGCTTCGGAACGATAGAACCGGAAGGAGTGGCGGTGTGATCCTTTACTATAATACAAAGCTCCGATGTGAAGTTATCGATCACCCGGAAATCCGCGCTCCCGATTTGCTTTGGTGCCGCCTATAATTGCGGAACAAGGACACATGTCTACTAGCCGTGATTTACCGTCCACCAAACGCAACCTAAAAAATGGACTCCAAACTGAACCACGTCTTTCAGTTTGCTTTGAACAAGTCTTACACCCACATTCTTATGGCTGGAGACTTTCATGTGCACGACATAGAAACGCCAGCAATCGACGGTACGCAGTTTAAGGCCTGCTTGTAAGAGGTAATTGCTAGCCACCCTCTGTACAACCACGTAACCTCTCCCACCTGATTTCGAACAGCTAACAAGCCGTCGATACTGGAGCTCGTGCTCACTAATGAAGGACTCATGGTTGACGGGATAGTCACAAGCCCACCACTGGGTCGTAGTGATCATGTTACTCTACTCTTTGACTATATATGCTATAGAGAATATCCTGAAAAGGAGGATCATAAAGGACATACTATCACTCACTATAATGTGTTGTCTAAGCTTGTTAAGGATAGATCTAGGACTTTCTTAACCCATTGCCCACCAGATGTTGCCTGGGAAACCTTTACAAGGACTTTTAGTACACTGGTAGCGCACGCATCGGAATAGAAGTCCTTTCAAGCCAAAAACAAGCATCATTCATTTCTGAGGAGCAGAACACGTAAATGTATGTCCCGGAGGGATTTGGCATCGCGAGCTTACATGGACTGCTCGAATGACGAAACCTGGACTGCATACGTAACACACTGTAACTTCTGTGTGAAACTGATCCGCGAAGACAAGGTTGCGCATCAGCAGGAGTTAATGAAGTGATTCTACACGAACCGAAAACTGCTGTACAGGCACGTAAACGGCCATTGAAAGGTGAAGGTGGGCATTCCAGCACTGGTCACGCCTGATGGATGAAGGCAGACAGCAATGGAAGTAGCCAATTTCCTACGGCTTCATTACCCCCGAACTTTCCGGCAGTTAAAGAGCCCAACTATTCTCCTCGTTTCTATTACTCCACTATCAGGTTTAGACAATATCACCTTCACTGCGGAAGCTGTGTTGAAGAATTTGTTATCTTTGCGTATCCACATTGCTTCTGGAGTAGACAACATCCGACCAAAGGCTCTAGAGGCGGTAGCTAGTGATTTAGAAAAATCACTGACCATTTTCTATCAGCGATGTCTAGAAGAGAACCATATTCTGCCAGTATGGAAGCGAGGGCTCATCACTCCTATCCATAACGGAGGTATTCGCACTGACCCTACCAAGTACCGTCCAATAACACTACTTCCTGTACTATCCAAAGTGATGGAATCAATCATCGCAGATGTGCTGATGCAGTAACCGGAAAGCCACAACTTAATAACGCCAGAGCAACATAGCTTTCGTCAAAAGCGTTCATGTAATACCAAGTTATTAATTGCACTTATTAGGTGGACTGAAGCTGTTGATGTTGGAGCAGGAGTCCATGTCATCTACCTGGACGTCCCAAAAGCTTTTGATCGCTTAGACCATCGAATTCTTCTTCAGAAGCTTCGGAACTACGACATTGGCGACCCAATCCTGAGTTGGATTATCTATTTTCTAAAAGAACGACTGCTAGCAGTGAGTCCGAGAATCATTGTCCGATGCAATCGATGTGGTTTGCGGTGTATCACAAGACTTGGTGCTTAGACCTCGTCTATTCTTGGTGTTCATTAACGATTTGGCGAGATCAATTGCTTCCGATTTCCTATTTTTCGCTGATGATATCAAGATATGGCGAATGATCAGAGGACCTGAAGACCACGAACTGCTCCAGTGCGATGTTAACATAGTGTCGAACTAGTCATTTCAAAACGCCCTACCATTCAACGTAGACAAATGTCGAGTTGTGCAATTACCCCATAGACATAACTACACATACTTGCTTGGGACAAATGGATTGCAGACCAGCTCCCAGGAATGTGACCTTGGCGTGCTCGTACAGAGCGATCTCAACTGTTCAAAATAGGCTGAGGTAGCTGCAAAAGGAGGCAACCATTATGTCGGCATGCTGCAAAGGGCATTGGGCAGATTTGACACATCAATCTTCCCAAAGAAACACAACTCCTAAGTGCCCCCGCATGTTGAATACGCTATCCAAGCTTGGCTACCTTGTTTGAAGCTCAACCTAGAGACGTTACAGGTGCCACTACGAAAAGCAACAAAGAATGTAAAGGGCCTGCGCCATCACTATTACCACCGAAGGCTGAAATTGCTGGGAATTTTCAGCGGACGCTATCGAAGGCTGCGCCGGGATCTCATATTAGAGTATCAGATATTGAGTGACCCCAACCACGTATGCCGCCATTTGCTTAAACTTAGCCACAACACGCAGCTCAGGGGTAACTGCTTACAATTGAAGGAACAATATGGCCGTCTAGACTGTCGACGTAATAACGTTTCCCTTCTGGTTTGACAACCCTGGAACGCACTCCCAGACTCAGTTGTATGGTCCTCTAACTTGGACATTTTCGGAAAACGATTAGATGTTGCTCTTAGCTCCCAGTACTTTGTTACCTAAACTCCTCTGTTGTGGATTACGCCAAGCATGCCTTTCAGCAGGATTAATGTATCAAATGGACCCAACTGAGTGACTATATTTTACTTTTCTCACGCCTTATATCAACGACCGCTGCACCCCGGTGTATTTATGAACCTTTAAGCTCGATATTTTTAATTTTACACTGATGTTATTTGTCAAACTATTCATCTCGGCAGATGTTCGGTAGATGACCCACATATAATTGATTTCATCCTACTCGCCCCAACAGCCCTGCGGGACGTGTCAAGCACTTGCTTTTATCACGGGATAAATCATTGTTCATTGTTCAAGTAACCTTGGGCGAAATCCTGGTTTAGATGCGCCGATGCAAATGATTGGTCAGGAAAGTGGGCCATTCAAGGTCAAGTAAGTCGTTGTTAGTTCCATGTTGACAGATCTTCAACCACTCTGTTGTCAGTTGATGCACGAACAATCAGTAGAAATATCGCCTATAGATAGCCTTCATTAGAAATGAGGATTCGTCTACGAGTAGCTTACTCAACGTATCCTACAGCGTAACATCAAGAGTAAACATACAGGGGCTATGATGGTGTATCCAACAACCCAGTAACGAATTTCAATTTATGGCTCTGTCATGAAGCTTGGAAGGTCGCAACCATGTCGGCTCTCGTTAACCAATAAGCTAACTAAAAAATAAACCAGTCAGACGCTATTATATGATTGGATTCATGCTCCGCTACAGCGTAATGAGAAGTGGGACGATACTTCTTTGATTTTGATGATTGACTGCTTACTTACACGATGATCTGTGCAGACATGTCACATAGACTATCCTTGAGCATACTGACTCTGGAGTGTTATTAGTGTCTATAGCATAGTACTATTTCCCATCCACTCAGCATCGTGTACATCATCATCTTGATTTGGATTATCCAAGTGGTGACCAAACTGTGGCGTTTAATCTCATTGGGAGACGGATCTTTGGAAGCTACTTCGTTGTGGTGTGCATAGTTGCGGTACTTGTAACTCGTAGCTAGCTTCTTCTCACATCTCAACCGACCATAACTCTCCAACCATTGCGATGGACGTTTCCATCGAAATGCTTTACCCCAGTGGTAATCGTTAAGCCAGCGAGCCCCGATATTTCAGACCTCTGTCGTTCTCCGTGCTTTTTCCGCCCAAGGCTTTCAAATGAGATCAAAGCCTCTCATGGGCCTCAGATAAGGACTTTAGAATCAAGTTGCATATCAGTGTAAATTGCGGCCAGGTTTGAGATTGTAAGTCGAAATTTATTCAAATCAAGAGTTAACCCAAAGCAACCGATAACAGCTTTGTCCGTGTTTAATTTCACTAGAAAAGGTTGGTCCAGTTGAGACCTGATCAAGTGAATACACTACTATCCGATATGATGTCAGAACCATATAGTCTGTGGTTGCGGGATGGAACTCAGCAATTTCCTAGTCACCATTAAAGTAATTGGGTTTGGCATGTCAGACGAGCAACTCTTTTCGGTTTCTAGTCACAACAGCAGCCTGTTGGGTGTCACTTGCCGCGTGTACACATGATGAAAATCGGTCGATGTGGCATCACTTCGGATGTGGCAGAGAGCAGGCATCACGTTTTTATCTCACTGAGCGGGAGTCAATGAGTGTTCACACTTCGTTGCATCCGTTTGACTTAGGTAGTTATTGCTACTTCGATATGGTCGAACGGCATCAATGATGGCCGTGCAGCGTTACAACAACTTGCAATGCTTCAACAAAGCGAAAATGGACAACTGAGGAATTTTACAGCTATTCTTGATTGATATTGAGCTTCTGAAGATTAATGAGATGTTTGGGTTGAGATTCGCATTCACGGATAGATCTTGAGTAACTGATACAATCGCTGCTAGTCATTCCGATCAGTAAGACCGCTTATGATGTGGGAACATGTCCGGTGTTGGTGGTAGACAATGCTGCTAAAGATGTTCTGTCGTGGAGTAAAATGATCGATGGTTACTTTAAGTTAGTGCTACTTAGATTGAGATTGCGTATCGCATTCCAGACGCAACAGTGATTTGCTTCTTACAGCCAAAACTAATCAGATTAAAATGAACATGATTACGCGGTTGGTCAGCCAGACCAATTCACCACACAGATGATGCTATCACTGACTAAACAGGAAAATCCGTCGCCAAACCAGTCCATGAGTGCACCTCCGTTGTTGGTCCCCAGTTCACCACATTTGTACCTAGACCGTAGGTTCCTGTAGCGTGTTCTTAGAGTAATAGAAAGTGCGGAATAAGTAACAAAACAAACCGTAGCACCATAAGGCGGGGGACTGAATAATGCCAACTACGGTGCTTGGCTGCAGCAGTCTTAGCGAAGCAACGATAGGGTGTTCAAGCTTGCACTAGGGTTTTACTGTTACAGAACCACAAGCAAGTCGTCTCCTGTAAGTACTGAGAACCTAAACCGTGAAACCTTCATTTTCAGCTGGCCTCAGTTAGACCTCGTCCACTAGTGGTATTATATTTTCTTTATACTCAGTTTGTCTTTTACGTGGACCAGACCGAAAACACGATGCCAAGTGGCATCAAACTTGATTGGATCAGCAAAGGAAGTAAAATAGGCTATACCTTTCTGATTCCTCCGGATGAGAAAGAGAAGGATTTTATCTTATTGTTTCAAGTCGTCCAGAAAATATCCCGCACACCATTGATTGGAATAATTTAATATGCATTCGTAACTTAGGGACATTATATGGAGTCTATCGGTGCGGCAGATTTACCGTTGAAAACGGTTAATTTCCATTACAACCAGGCAAACAACTAGATTGTGGATGGCCATCAGCTAACTTTACAGATTACAGAATGTGTTCAGAAATTATTATGGCCGTTGACACAAGGATTGCTAGGGAAATAAAACTTTTACCTTTCAGTCAACGTAGGGTAGAGCAACCGGCGTTATGATAACCGGGGAATGTGTTTCAGTTAAAAATGACTGGAGATTTCACTTGATAAGAATTTTGAAGTGACACTATGATTTCGCTTGATAGAGACCGGTCGTTTCACGAAAACTACGTGTGATTCCTCCAGTGTATCCGGTGCTTCTAAAGCACATCAATGAGTTGCGGGTCGGAAGAGTACTTTGCTTGCCCGCTCACCTTCCATTGATCAGAATCTATAAACTTGAGTCCTTGATATATTTCAAATGGTTTTAAAAACCGTACTAGTGCCTTAGAGCACGTTTGAAAGATTTTGCATTACGATATGATGTACAATATCATCTGAAGTAGGTGATGGTACACTAGAAGTTCCCTACTAACAAAGGAGGGTACATGTTAACCATAGCTCCTAAGGAATATGCAACTTAAATGTAGCCATTGATACAATTGAGTCCTGGTCCGTATTTCCAAGGGACTGGCGTTATATGTGGTAAAAACTATAGATGTTTGAAAGTTCATACAGGTGGCATGCAAAAATTAAATTTCTACAAGCTAATCACTCACTTGTATTTCATCGAACGACTTGCTCATCATCGCAATGAGCATATTCAGTAGTATAATTGTCATGCATGCGTTGTAAATGGCGTACAACACGCTGCCCAAGTTGTTGATCATCAGTGGGCTACTTTCCACCGCCAACATGGCATGTCCAGGATAAAGTTTGGCCAAATTCTCGTCAATTGTGGTCACATTATTGGAAGATTGGCCAAAAAGAGCCCAATACAAAGTGTAAAAAGTGGCTCCGGTGCTGTAAAGTTGTGGAATAAAATAAGAGGGTGGTTTGTAGCACACCAATATACCCATTAAAGTCATCATGAATTACAATCCGGCAAGTTAAATAGTCTCCAGGGGCAAGTTTATCTAAATCAAAGCCAACACCTTTAATGGGAAGGATTTAGTATTTTTATGATAGCTGCAACACAGCGTAGAGTTAACTGTTCTCAGTGCGTTGATGTCGTCTGCTGCTTAGCAAGTAACGGGGATGGGTGGTGTAGCGATGGCCTGCACGTAATTCAAGCTAAGCTGCGGTATGGAATGGGGAAGTTAGGCTGGCGAGTCGTAAGTTTTGTGCCTCCGAGTTGATTAAACCATAGAAGAGACAAGCCAGTAGATGCAAAATGGGGCTGCCAAGTGAAATTTGGCTGAATTATGATGCAGTACACACACAGGTGACAGACACCACCTTCCAGGTTCGTATGTTGACTCTTGCATGCACCCTGGCAGACGTTAGCAATGTCGTTGACAGTTGAAATTAAGTCATCGCACGCTGAACACCAATCCCAGTGCATGTGTTCGATAAACTTAGATACGATGTTGTTGCCGATAAAGTGTTTACATAGTTAATGTGGCCAGCTCGGTTAGTGGCCATAGAAAACTACTGTCGTTCACAGGGGCAGAGTAGCAGACAGACTCAATAACGTGAACAGAGTAAAACTAAGGGGGTATTCAATTTCACAAGTATGACCGGATGATTGTGTACGACCAGCTGACTTGGATCTTGCACCAGTCGGCTGTGAACCTAATTTGTGTGTTCGCTGGTAGTGTGGGCTGCACCAACATTAACATTGGGCTGTAACACCTCGACATGCAGCCCCCAACCTATGCAAAATGATTGTGGTTCGTGGTAACATGCCCACTAAATCATACTGTGCACTATTGGTTTGATTGTTTGTGTGTATGTGCACGGATTTCTGGACGTTAGGATGAGACCATTTAGTGGTTTATTTGCAACCTAGATGACAGGGATACCAGGTGCCGGATGTCATTGACAGTAAGCTAGGCTATGGTAGTGATGCAATAATGAGCTGATGCGATGAGCACATTGACTAGGATAAAAGTGTTTATCGTGTCATACTGATGATTGATGGGGCAAATAATGAGAAAACATGCAGCGAAAAACGCCATGACGGCATGCCAGAACATAAAAGTTGAACTAATACTTTTAGTACTGTTAATAGTTTTCCTACATTCTGTCACCGAGGACGAGAGGGTGTATGGTTAGGGGCTACGGGTTGCGGAGGGGTTCCGGTATTCGTTACAAAAACAATTAGTGCCATCTCGCATACTTGTACAAAGAGTGACGGTACGCTGTTTTGTAAACTGTACTGGGGGACGGGAATTGACAGGGGTGGTTGATCAAGTACTTGAAGTGCGAAATACCGGACAGATAGCGAACAACATCGGATTATTATACCTGCGTAAATTAGCCGGAAGTGCAGTGCTAGCGAAATTTCTCCAGTTCATCATCGTACCAACCATAAAAGGACCATAATAAGACTCATTAGTTAATGAAAGGTGTAGACAACCTTCTGGTGGGAACACCAGAATGTTCCAAATGGATTGAAAAAGCACACCTCCGGTGTTAACAAGGTGTCAGGGTCAGGCTATATCGCAGTTAAGATTCAATCCGTAATGGTCGGCTATCGTCACTATTGCTCGGAGGCATAAGCTGCTGCCAGTTGTACAAGCCATTAGTGGTCTTGCCTTCGACCCCCTGAAACGGAACCGAGAGAGCGAGCATCGCTAACGAGCCTGGATGGAGCAAAATGATCGTCTGGTGATTTTCCACATTGGTAACTCAGCTTAGTGGCTTGTCATCTAATTGCGAATAATCAACCAAATCCTATCAAATCTGCCTACTAAATTGGAATTAAAAACGTATCCTGTTAAGTACACATTTGTACTGCTGACTGTGGTGTGGCATTCTCCTGGCCACCGCTTAGTTGAAAGCCTCGAACTTCCTAATAGCTTTTCGCAGACTCAAACGTGAGTGTGTGTCTGTCGCCCAGTCAATCCTTGATGGAACTGGTCTAAAACACATGCCCTATCCGTTATATAAATGTATGTCAGATTATTTTTGTGTGACTTCCGGCCGCTGCGCCGGCTATTAACCTTTCGGTAGTATTACACGCGCAGGGTTTTAACAGGTGGATAGAAAGCTGTAATTATCATTGGTGATTGTTGAGCCTTCAGTGTGTCAGTAATCGTCTAGCATTGGTGTTGCTACATTGCGCAGGAGCTTCTGCCCAAGTGCTTACGGCGTAACGTAAACGGATTTTGTGGAGTGGAAGCTGTATCTACTGTTTAAAGGTTCGTTTGCGGTTTTGAGAGCTATTGTGCTGTACTTAAGGGATATCTCGAAGTAGTTTGTCCAGATTGTGCATTCATCTCCATGCAGCCTTATTTTAAATCATGTTGCACTCCAAAGACCAATGCTCGAAGAATCTGTCGTGTGATGTCTCAAAGAAATGACCAAATAATACTTACTAAACGATAAACTATTAATTTGCTGGACAAAGCATTTCGCAACTTATTACTTCGGTTTATGGGTGCAGTATCTACCAGCGTCATGCTGCCCATACAAACATTCGGCAATGTAACCATAAATCTGGGCTTTTCCATAACTGTCATGCGAGTGAATGAGGTCCTGGTAGCGTATGAAAAATAATTCTGGGAGACCCTGCCAAATCGGCTCCTTTTCTTTAATTCATCTCATTCTCCTACTACACTCCTTATTAGCACTTGGGTAAAAGAATTACTGCTGGCTAGTGGAGTAGATGATTCACAGCGATAAGTTGGACACTCAGGATTTATCATTTCCTCTTCTGCACAATTTAGACCCCAGTAATTCACATGTGTGTTCCGCGGTTGCGTATTTTTCCATATACTAGTTAAACTACTGGCAAATTTGCTAGTTGGATAAACAAACCCTATTGACTACTTCCTCTCACAAAACCTTATTAGAGTTCACTAGTGGAGTTACATGGAGACCTGGAACGTTTCAGCATGCCAATAACAGATTTTCCTCAATACTTCACTTTAGTATAAGCAGAACTCGTTACTTACCATTAGCTAACGGAAACACTAACGTAACGGTACGACGTATACTCATATCCTGGTCAACATATCGTGCTGTATTTTTGAAATCTCTAAGCCTGAATGATAAGCAAAAGTTTTAAGTGCTGTCGACTTATTAAACTGGGGATCCGATCTTTTTTCCGTTATTGCTATACACACATGCTCTGAACACCGTATATTGCGCAATATCGTTAAGAAGAATGTTGGGAAAAGCGTTGGCTCTCTCACCATGTTATGCGTTAGACCCGAATGGTTTACTCAACAAATTCCTCGTGGTGTCAGTTGGGTGGTTCGGGATTATTCCGTTCAGGTGAATGGTTTGTTGGCATTGTTTCCGGCAAGCGTCCGTCTAATAACACGGTAAGGTAGCGGATGCGAACCGCTGCTGAATAAAGTCAGTCACTCGCTTCACTGCATTGGACCATTGTATTCTAGCACTTTATTGCTGAAATTGTGGGGATGATTTTGCTCCTGTTGTGTAACCGATCAAACGAAAGATATATGAACTAAGCAATCAGACGCCAGCTCCCATTGGGCGCGATTCCCCGCATTCACCCTGTCACTTTGCATGTAGACTATTTAGTCAATGGCTCAATGTGGTGTCCCCTAACTCAAGTCCCTACTTCAGTTTTGGCAGTGGGTAGTATCACTCCAGCAAAAACCATGGTCTGTTCTACACCGCGCTCATCTGCTGCCATTGTTGCTTTTTTGCATTCGCGCAAATACGTCACCCGCTATCTGCCCATCTACTAATAACTTTTCTTATCCGTTAACTGATTCATGTGTTCATAAATTTGCCTGTGATTCCGGTTGCGCTGCGAACCATAGAGTTCAACCTGTGGTCTTCCTTCGACCCGGATCTTGGTTCCGTCTGGCGTGCTTCAACGTACGGACACTCATGCGGATTGGACAGCAGGCCTGTCTAGGGTGCATCCTGGAATCCTTCGATGTTGACATCTACTGCCTTTCCGAAACCAGACTGCAGGATCTCAGCAATGTGCTTTCGCTGATATTCCAAACGACCACGAAGCCACATACCATCTGCGATTTTGTTGGGACCCAGGACAAGACTCAGTGGGCTAGGCTGATGTAGGTTTATCACTAAGTATCACGGCCGAGGCCTCACTGATGTACTGGTTCCCGATTAACAGCTGACCTTGTGTAGTTCGGGTTCGGGGTTCATGTAGAATCAAAAGGCACGTGGAAAAGAAACGCAAATTGTTCGTGATCTCCACGTACGCTCCAGATGCCTGCAGTAGTGGCTCGGTCAAGGACGATTTTTATTGGGAAGTACATCAGCTCTTGAGTAACGTTAACAAATCGGGCATCTTCGTTCACGCTAAGAATTTCAAGGCACAGCTTGGCCACCTGTTGCCGTACGAACGCTACCTAGTTGTTGGTAACCAGGCGCTGTATAAGGACCGCAAGGATAACGGAGAGAGACTTCTCACATTACCTACAGACAACCATCTGTATTCTCTCGAGCGTTAATTTCAGGCATGTAAAGAAACGTCGGTAACTTGGAGTTTCAATCATTATCAAGTTAATCTCGTTGTTCACAAAAGTCTAGCATAAAGAAAAAGCACCTTTCTCTTGGGAAAATCAATTATTGTCCCTATTTTCAAGAAATGCGCCCTCGTTTCATGTGTCACTAATTGCGGGATTAGTCACATTTCGGTTGCCTCCGTCCTGTATCCTAGATTATCCTAAAAAAGCGAATCATAGTACCTCAAAGAGGAAGCTGGTTTCCGTCCCTCCTATGGACAGGTGGATAACATCTTCACACTTCTCCAGTTAAACCAACTCCTCGAACACCGCTACACTTACTGCAGGCCCACTATTGTCGCATTCCTAGACATACTGGCTATAATCGATTTTGCTTATCGACCT